ATATGCAATATTGATCTTTTCTATTTAAATGGATTTTATTAAATTATTTGAGAAATTAAAGTTTCAATTCAGAGTATTGTTACTAATTTTCCCTTGGTACTTGTACTTTGATTATAATGTGTTTCACTTTTATTCTGACTTTTTATTCAATCAACTTGTAAATTATTGTATTTATATAACATATATTGAAATAAACAACATTCTTGATGCATTTTCGATCATTTATTTAAACAATAAACATGTATCATTTTGGTAAAATATTTTTTGTGACAGTTTTCATCAGTTGTTCTGCAAATATTGGATTGAAATCAACTGTTATTTCAAGATATGACTTTTTGAAGAATAAACAACTAGAACTGATGACTGTAAATTGAGCAGCAACATCCCCAACTGCACCTGTCCATAATATGAATGCCTCACTTTCAGTTCCACCTTTGAATTTCTGATTTCCAGAAAGTCACAATTTTCTGAGAATATTTCTGGGCCATGATCTTTGCCTGAAATCAAATAATATTTATAAAACAGTTAGTTATGACAAACAAACAAAGTTTAGCAATATATGGACATTTTATCTCCAGTAATTTTACAGGGATCATTCCATCCATGATCACGCCATCAGGTGAAAAGCCTAACCATGGAAAACATTTTGAAATAATGAATGAAGGTCTGATGACTATGTTGCTATTTTTGTTTTCGAATAGCTCCAGTGCTTCTTTCTCCAGTTTCAAACCATATTCTGTAAATTTGTTTGAAAACCCTTTGGGAAAGAAGTACTTCAATGATTCTCCCAGTCAGCATCAGAGACATTTTTCTTTTATCCATAAGTAAATATGGAATAACAAGTAGATCCTGGAGATTCAAAATACTTGGCATAACATCATTCATAAATAAAATTGAAATAAATTGAAATTTTAGCTTTTTCAGCTTAAACATAACCCAACCAAAAAATGTGAAAGGTACTGAAAGAAATAATTCTCAATTGCTTTTTACCAGTTATTCTAATCTTTCTTTCATTCAACCACAATTCCCATCCCTGTTCATGTTTTGTTGCTATTTCTAATATGTTTGAACTTTGTAAAGTTTTCAAAACAGATTCACAGCAAGGTTTTAGTTGATATAGCTCCAAGTCAATTTCCTTGTGAAGTTTTTGCAGAAACTCACCCTGATCTATATGTTATAGTACATTAATCATATGATTATCTATACTCCTGAAAATATAAACAAACAACACAGAAAATAGAACTGACAAGTCAAACAGGTGGAGCTTATTTGTTTCCAATTGCAATGGCTGATTTGCCATTTCAAGATTGAATTATACAACCTTCCCACAATTCTGGATCCACAATCTGCTGCTTCTATTCGATCTGCCGCTTCTATTCGATCTGCCACTTGATTATTAGATCCACACTCTGCTGCATCTATTGGATCTAACACTTGATGAGACCTTCCTAAAAATACTGCCAAGGCAGAATCACCTACACCTGAAGTATTTCAATTTGAATGAAACTTAAATGCTTCAACAAATTCAAGAGGACATACCATAAGCTAATATATTGAAATTCTCCTCATCCTTTGTTTTTTTTTAATATCTGGGTGACAAAAGGACTTAAATGGTTTGGGCCTACTAATTCCCTCTATTTCCTTCTTTTCTTTCCCCCATCTTTGTGTCAAATCAGTGCAACTCACTGGTTCCAACATCTCGAATCTAAAACATGAGACAAGTCCAACAGTTTGAAAATAATATGAAAATAATATTAACTTCAACAATTACAAACCTGTTGACATAGATCATTGTAGCAATAATATGTTTGCAGTATCCCTCTAATCCTGCTTTACAGGAGCATTCACATATCCAGGTATCATCCTTCAAATGTATGGTGATTTCATGTGGAGATTGTAAAATTGTGGAAGATCTTATACATAGACTTTTTATACATTTTTCATTGGAGCCGTCATCAGTTCCACATAAAATGATGTGACCAGCCCTAAAGACCTCTTTGCCTTCCTTAATTGGCCTAACACGTTCACCCACGTAATCCAGAATGTCCGATAATGATAACTCAACTTTCACAGGCATTTTGATAAAAATCCAATGAAATTAACGCTACAACCAACTGAAATTCGAATACTAACTTTCAATCCAATTATACAAAGAATAAAAATTAACCTAAACCTTTGAGGAAACTGAAAAACAAAACTTATAAAAACCGTGATTTCAAAGTGATCATATGACAGAATATTTATTGTTCACACCTCGATCCGACATATTGTCATTCGTAGCGCCATCTGCCGGTACATGATTTTTCCCTATTGGGTAACCAATAAATCACTTTTATTATTATTATTATTATTTTCAGGCTCGAATCTCCTCAATACCTTTTGAATATTGAGGTGATCTAAGTACCATGCAAAACCATAATAGTCTCCCTGATGATGGAAATAAAGATTTCCGAAAGCTTGGATCAACTATTCTTGTACATTGCTGCAATCCCTAATACACACTGTCACTGAAATATCTCATTGTAGCATATTTCTAATGTCAATAGATTGTCCCCACCAGATTAGACTATACACGATATATAAAAATGTTAATTTTCTGACCTGTTTTCATGATTTTTTCTTGTCGCCACCCGCGAAAATTTTGAGTTCAGTTTACTCCAAACCATACTTTCCAATAGTTCTGGGTACCAAGAATCTTTTCACAGAGCGATTCAATAATGACAGCAATTTGCAGAAAGTTTGCAGATTAAAAAAGGCTTCGTATGGTTTGAAGCAATCTAGTAGATTATGGAATCAAAAACTTGACGAAGAATTGAAAGATATTGGTGTAACACAAGCTAAATTTGATGTTTATTATTATTTGAAGGGGGAAAATATCATCATTATTGCAATTTACGTTGATGACATGTTGAATTTTTCCAATAATAATAAATTGAAATGTTGGGTCAAAGAAAAAGTATAAAAAAGGATACGAAACAAAGACTTGAGTGAAGCAAACCATTGTTTAGGTTATGCGTATAAAAAGAAACCGAGCAGTAGGCACAATCTCCTTAGACCAGACGAGTTATACATATAGAGCAACTTCTAAGAAGATTCAATATGGCAGATACAAAACCTGTGAAAACTCCTGTGGAATGTGGAAGAAAACTTAGTAGTGCTATGGAACCAATGAATGACAAAGAACGAGAAGAGATGAGGCAAATGGTAATCAGATGGTAATTGGGAGCCTACTCTATGCATCTCAAGCTACGAGACCAGACATATCCTTTGCAGTGGGGCAAATTCAATGCTAACCCAGGCGAAGAGCATTGAGCATCAGCGAAACGAGTTCTTAGGTACCTGCGAGGAACAACTGATTCAAAAATTGTCTATAGCAAAAATGGCAATACTGAAATCTATTGGTATGCGGATGCTGATTCCGCCTATGACTTAGACGATAAAAAATCTATCAGTGAGTACATCTTCAAAGAAGCTGGAGCAGCAATAAGCTGGTCAAGCAAGAAGCAACAAACTGTGGCACGTTCAACGACAGAAGCCGAATATATGGCTTCGGCTCATGCTACACAAGAAGCTTTATGGCTCAGAATGCTGAAAGAAGAACTTCAAATTGATCAAAGATCTATTCGAATCTTTTGCGACAACAAAGGTGCAGTTGATTTGACAAAAAATTCTCTATTCCACTCTCGAACAAAAGATATTGATGTACATCATCATTTTGTACGTGAAGCTGTTAAAGGCAATGCAGCCACCATTCTGAAAATTTCGACAGAAGAAATGGTTGCAGATTCTCTAACAAAACCAGTGAATACAGAGAAGAATATTTTTTGCACGGTTGAAATGGGTATCAAGTGATATTTTGATTCGAAGAATGTTCCGATCTCCTCATCAAGTGGAGGTGTTGAAATATTATTGATATTGAGCCGGTGGATGAAAATCACTATGTATGTATTGTCAATAAAAATAATTTTTTATACAAGTCAGTCTCTTCATATTCTTTGAATTTCCACTGATCTGTAACTAAATCGAAATATGTGATGAAAAATCATCCTGTAGAAATCAAAATAATTCTGATTTATAGACCGAACGATATTGTACCATATCCCCAAAAAGATTTTCTATATCTCTTATTTTTTTCATGTTCTAGATCTATAGAGCTTCTCCACAGTACGTGGACACCAGGGATATAATAACTTATAAAAAAGGCACGATTTCATTCAAAACATTCAATCAATATTCACAAACCATCAGCAGCCAACTTTATCTAACTTCTGATGTCTTTCGGGTGTCCATTGGCAGTCATTTTGGAAATTGGCCGCCACGGCCGCCAGGGGGCAGTTGGCCGATGGTTCCACATCCAAATTTGGTCATATTATATCGGTCTACCTCTATGCCAAATTGGTTCTCAATAGGAGCACAATTCTTTCTTTCAGACTGAAGAAGTCTAAAGTTGAAACAGTTTACTTAAATACCAAGAAGTCAACAAAATGATTATTTGTTGTTATTACAAAATATGCAAAAAAAAAGCTATTCGAATCAAGATTTGATGAATTTATTTTGTATTTATGGAAGATGTAAAAAAATTGTGACCAGAACAAACTTGCCAGAGGTCATGTCGTGAATGATAGGCTGATAGTGAGCCAAAATAATGCTAGTACTTCATATAAAAAAATTGTCTCGCAATTTGTTGCTATCTATCAGCCCTATCATTCACGACATAACATTTCCAGACACTCTGTATACTTTTTTCACTGGCTCTTTGGCTATTAGGTTGCTTTGCCTCATTTTACTGGCTAAGTTTTCCTCAGGCAGCATGTATTTTTTACTCGTTTGTTTTACCATTAGAATAAATCATGCCCTTGTATATTGATAACAATAAATGGGTATCCATTGCTTTCCATGAGAGACTTACCTCTGGACAGCTCGATGCCTCTAAAATATCTAAAATATTTGTCTATCCAAAATACCATGCGATACCTACTTGAATACCTTTCATGTTTCAGTGCTTTCAAATATACTTCATGGACTGGTTCATATCTGGGCACTTTTCGTCTTTCGGTTTAGCATACGCCTCTTACAAAGATGTTAATCCAATGGACATATTTTTCCCAAAAAAAGCCAAATGTACCTACCGGAATTTTGGTCCTTCCGGCTCTGATGAAGAACATGACTTTTTGTGCATTCTGCCTTTGAATGTCCTCAATGAAAAATTGTTTCTGGTTCTCTGGTACTGGTTGTTTATCCTTTTAGCCATATCGTCGCTTTGCTTGTTGTACAGAAGCCTGTTTTTGTTTGCACCCAAATTTCGTGTTTATTTGCTCAGGGCACAATGTAGAAAATTAGAGAAGAAAAAAGCCATGTTGATAGTGAAAAAGTTTACCTATGGGGACTTCTTCATTTTGTATAAAATTGGCAAGAATGTGGATCCTACCATTTATAATGAAATCGTTGCCAGTATATATGCCCATTTCACTATGAAAGGTTCTTGTAAAAATTTTCCTAGAGATGATGAAGTTTAACATTGGTGAATAAAATCATTCAGTACATTAGCACGGAAGTCCCCTATAGTCACTAGTGAATTTTCAGTTGAAAAATAGGACTGTGATACTATAGATAAGTTGAAAATAGTGCAAATACTAGTTTATTTTGTTGTATTCGTTGTTGGTCTCTCATATTTTTTTCATTGCGTTCAAGAGGCCAACGTATTTTGTATTATTCGTTAAATTTGTTCCATTGAAAGTTCATCTTTGTTTTGTGTTATTTTTGAGTGAATTATCGACTACTAAGAATTTAGTAGGTAACGTCTTTATTTATGTTTTTTAGGTAGGTACATGTGAAGAATGTTGTAATAATAATGATGATCGTTTCATTACTGCTAATTACCGTCTATATTCAGTAATTTTTTGCAGTTCTAGAACATACAAAAATAGCTGAATGTTGCCATGATTGGAATGTTCTCATATTTTTTGTAATGTAAAGTGAAACTCTATCACATAAATGCAATAAGTTTATTCAAGATGTGATGATTTGTACTAACAATAGATAGGTACTGTGTCAAATTCCCATTCCCATTAAATTACGAATAATATGGTTATTACAAAACTAGAATAAAATTTTACATTAATTAATCAAATATCGATTTCACAGTATTTCATTGTAATTTTTTTTATCAAATTTGAATCCATTTTCAGAATTTATCCAGAATCCTCAAGAACAAACAGAGGCTTTCAATGTTTTTTTAAGCGTTTCAATGAATATTAGATAACAGAAATGACCTACCTAGCGGCGACAAACGGAAGCAATAGAGGACATTCCTGCCATTTTAACAGGAGTGCAAAGTCTAAAGATAACAGTTTTGTGCATAATGAAAATACAATACATGCATACAAAAGGGCCACCAAATACTATATAGACAGAATAACTCCCAAGAGAATGTTTGCAGGGGGGATATAGGTTTTTATGTGCAATGCATTAAAGTAACTTTTTTATTTGTACAGTTGTATCTACGCCATTTTACATCCGAAAACAAAAAATTTAGGAAAATTTCAATTAGTCAAAAATACAACAAACTGGTACAAATGATACGTTTCCAACATTAACTAAGGCAAAAAAATCCAATCACATATTTTCCAAAGAAATGTACCTCTACTATCAAATTGGGATTCATCTTGAAACAAAAAGAGCTAATTTAACAAAGCAACAGGAAGTTGATTTTTGACTTCACTATACTACATAGTTTGTAGAGTTCTTCTTACCACTGATTTTCTTTATCTTTTTGAATTGTATAAATAACAGTATTTTTCATAGACAATTTTATATCGGTACCGACCATATAACATCCTAACATTATTTCACCAAAAATATTTACTGACTATATCAGGTAAAATTCGTGGCTAGGTCAGATGATAATCAAGATAACCTATAAAATTCATATTTCACTGTTACTATCCTTCTACGAAATTTATGTAAACTTACCAAAGGAAGAATACAGTGCCGGCAACAATATTTCTGTATTCGCTATGGTATGATTTCAGCGATGCCTCATCACCTGAATGTTTGTTTAAAAAACGCTAAAAGAAAGTATTTGACCCAGCATTCTAAAACTGGTTTTAATAGTGATCACCAGGGGTGCGTTTGAGAATGAAACTTTGGTGTGTTGGGTGTTACCTTGGAGCGTTTCGGAATCAGAGAATGCTCTCCACAGCGTATTTCCTGGATAGTTAAGAAATTATACAGTGTTGTCCTAGAGAGAAATACATGTTTTTTTTAATTGCTTGTTTTTTCACTTGGTTGAAATAGAAACAAGTTGTTTCATTCAGAATCATGGGATTTCAAGCGTTAACTAAGCGTGATTATTTTCCAGATTCCAGATTACATTTTTCTTTTGAATTGCAGTTTATTTTTTTCAATATTCATTTCTATTTAGCCGGATAGGTTATTGGCTCACTACACCAATGCGATCAGAAATAACGGACACCAAGATAGCCACCGCTAATGACTTTAACTAAATGTATATTTGATTGATTTGTAGTAAATTCGCGAGATGATGTATGTAACTATATTTACTGCATTGAGCTTTCAATTGTTCTGTCAAACAATAGGCTATAAACAATGTTTATTTCCGAGGGCAGTAAAGGTACAAGGAATCTCTTTGATATTCTTATCAGTGATTTCTTTATCAAATCAAGAACAAATCATGTGCGATACATGCTTTGTAACTTTTTTTGTTTGAATTATTGGCGGCACAAAGATTTTCACTAGCACCTTTAGTGACAAAATTAGAAGCAGCATAAGAACGATACGTGACTGTCATGTAAGTGTCTTCACAGAAACTGAAATGTGAAGTGTTTTCCAAACTGTCCTTCCAGTATTGGCGAGGAAAGTAGAGAAAAGGGTATACTGACAATTATTGTGTATAGACTCAAATGTCGTATTTTAGCGATTTTTTCTACCAAACATCCTGGTAGTTATTCAGTCTGATTCGTGTTTAGTGGTCCACTTTGTATAATCGCATATCTCGAGACACTGCGAGAGATATACATATATAGAATGTTGATAAAATGTGACGTTGAATAATTGGTTGTGGTGAAAACGATAGGCCCTTGTTATTATAACATCACTTCAGTTCTTTAGCATTATTTGTTATATTATTTGTGGAGTACGGTTATTTTACAACATTTTGTGTTGAAAATACTTTTCAATGTATGTATTTTGTTATTCAGTCAATTCAAATAAATTGAAAGAAGTTATAAATATTTTATGCGTTTGCTCCCTCATTTAAGGACACAAACCTGAAAATTTATTCCCATGGGAGGAAAAAAATTACCTCTCGTGGGAGGTAAAATAAATTGGCTTTAGCTTGCTTCCTTGATAGAGATACCAATATAAGATCCGTGCTACCAAAGTACCTAATCAGTGTCTCCATCACTACCTATTATGAAACAAATAACAATTATTTCATTTTTGAACTAAAATAATCGCATACACTTCCTCATATGGTTGAGTGGAAGAGCAGCTGTCGATTTATCGACGAGTTGAACTCTGCCTTTTGTTTCATTGAGACAATAAAAGCATTTATTATTATTATTATTATCTTCCAAAACTTATTCAATCGAAACTTCAAATAAAATGCAATTACACAATAATACTTATTTAACCAACTAGTGTATTAATGAGGGAGATTAATGATCGAGATATTTTAACGTGCGAGCGAAGCGAGTGCGTTAATATTCGAGATCATTAATAGCCTTTTAATATACAAGTTGGTTACAAAATTTTTCCGTCGACTATATTTCTCATTTCTCCTGCAATGAAGAAAACTTGGTTCGCGAATTCCATCCATCCGGAAACTGCTAAGAATCACCCAGTAGCCTTGTTACTGACATTAGTGACATTTGATATTTTTCGAAATGATCAACATAGAAAATAAATTCCTTGTGTTAGAAAACAGGGATTAAAATCGTGTCCGAAACTTGGAAAGGCGAACCCGTTAACGGAAAATCTTCGATGAAATCCATATTTTCGATTTAAATGCAGATTCCGTAAGCTATAGCATAAACAATGAATGCACGCGGTGTATGTTTGGTTGCCTATAAAACAATCGTGCATTAATAGACAAATCGTTCATTAATAGGGGTCATTAATGAACGATTTCATATACATCAAACTTAGTCGTTAATACGAGGCCGACGAAAAACAAATTTAATGTGACAGAAGTTCCGATTCTACTTTCTGTAACCTTGAATCATGTAACACATTGGTTTGGATAGAGACTCGAGAGATAGACCGTTGATGCACAATTTTAAGAACGAAGCTCTCAAGTTCGTGGATGAAATCATATATTTCATTTCCTCCCATGTGTGTTCAATGCCCTTCGCTATGCGTCAGGCATCAAACTTCACACGCGGGAGGAAATGGATACCTTTGCTCCCTTGATATATAAATAGCTATTTTTTTGAATATTATTATGAGTATTAAAAGATATTAGCAACGTGATCTACGTGGATGTCCGATAACCTTAAGATCGACTTTGATGTCAAGGTGTAGGTATCTAAAATAGTAAATTTAAAAAATATTCAATGTTTGACTCAAGTAAAATATATTTCTTTGGATAACAGAGAAGTTCAGCTAGTATTGAGAGAGGAAAAATAGGTTTTCCCTTTTTGTCCTTGTCTACAATTCTGAAGGACAGAAGAGATATAGGTGCCTAAGCACAACCATCAATTGAATTTTTTCAAAGGGAACATAATTTCCGATAAACATGTCATTGTTTATTGCAGGGTTATCCAGCAAAATTTGCTGAGACCTGACGTGATATAACAAGTTAGGGAATCTATCGATATACAAGGTGCCTTAAACACAACCATAAATTAAAATTTTGTATGTTTTCAAAGGAAACATGATTTACGATGAATATTATGTCATTGCCTGCAGTACTTCCCAGTAAATATTGATGAATTTTTGCTTGACAGAGACACCACACTCTGTTAGTACCACCTAATAAGATAGTGAGTCAGCTCTCATTGAGTTATACAACCTGTCGATCTGGGAATGACAATAAATGCAAAATGCTTAAGACTTAAATTATATCACCACAATCACTAAGTTTTATGCATCTTTGATTTTAATTCCTTATATGCACTTATAATTTCTTTTTGTTGTTTGTCTAGTTGTCTCCTCAGTGCATGTGGTAACGCCTTTCTTTTTCCTTTCTTGTCTATTGTTTTACTAGTAGTCTTTCGGATTACTTCTTTGGTCTTCGAAATTAGTGGAGTTCTGTCCTCATCCTTTGTTTGCATCAAGTTATTCAGTAACAAACTTTTTTTGCCAGGCTGAAAGAATGTTGTTGAAGTCCATAGTATCGAAAATCACCTACACATATTTGTCATAAACAGTAGTCAACATGTACAGGGTGGTCATGAAGTAATTGTACACAAAAAGAATAGTAGATGTTTGGCTTCAAACTATTACATAGTTGCTTTAATGAAATATTGCTAATGAGAGAAGTCAGGCTGTATAAATGGTAAAATAATAAGATGCATCTTCCTTCGCATCAATAAAGATCCCATGCTTTCTTGAAAAACTTATATCTTATATTAAAAAATTGACAATTGGCGTAAATCGTAAATCCGGAAAAAGCGTTCTGTTGAGAAAGGATCACGTTAATCACTACGTCAATCCAAAATATAAGGAAGCTAAGTTCAACAACTCATTTAGGGTGGAAGATTTGATTTTATATTTCCCTGTACTTATAATGATCAAGCCATCAGATTTTCTTGGGAACTAAAATTTAGGCTATCATTCTGAAAGATGAATCTATGGTTGGGTCGATTTTCAAAAGTGTTTTCACTTATAATACCACTAGGGCTTCGATTACTACCATTTTTTCAAAAACACAAATATTCGTGTTCGAGGAATTGAAGAAATACTAGGAAAAAAATACAAAATTTCGATTTCAGTTACGCAAGAAGGCCGCTGGTGGTAGTTCAAACCATTATTCAGATTGATAGCGAAAGCTGCTTTGGAAAAACTCGTTTTTTATTCCGTGCAGAAATCGACTTCACACCCCAACAGCTTCTCATGATCTACAAAGCACAGAAACGGACTATTTTAGAATACTGTTCCCACATAAATGGGGTTCAGCACCCAAACATATGCTGATGGCTTCGACATCATTGGAACACCGTAGAAATGTCGTCGACCTTTCACTTCTATAAGAATAGTAATTTTCCTAACAAGTGCGGAAAGCGATTCTTTCCCGCACGCGACTGCCGTTGACATGAACGACGCGAAGCAGAGTTCGGGCAAGCAGCCCCTACTTGAAATAAAATCGCGAATATTCGGTTTTTCCAAAAATCTTTGTAAGTATTCGGAATTTCTCATATTTCAAAACAGCATTTTGTCATAATAATTCCGACCCCGTATATGTTACGGTTTACCAGATCTCAATTATGAAGTTGGAATTCCAGCCACCCTGTATACTGTCCTAAGGAAGTTGAAAAATTATCACTCACCCTTGGGGCATTTAGGAGTTTCTCTGCTCTTCTAGGAGCTGTCAATGATGGAGGTGCATGTACAATTTCCCCAAATTTCACATTGTCTTTATACTTCTCAAATCCATCAGCATTTTGTTGCTGTTTTCTCATCTTCTTATCTTTCAACTTGTTCTGTCTCTTTTGTGATTTGGTCAATCTGGGTATGGTAGTGCCATTTTCAGCCAACTTCTCCTTTTTTCTTTTATTTTTCTTTTCTTTTTTATCATTTTTTAACTTCTTCACCATCAGTTCCAATTCATCCTTAGGCCTTTTGAGAACACCTTCAATCTGAAGAATAGCTTATCTACATAATTATGCCCCCCTGTTAAGTTGAACATTATATTTCTTACCTCTCCATCTTCATTTCTCTTAATGTCGACTCCATATTTTTGTTCAAACTCAGCTTCTTTAGTCACACTTATACAAATTCTATTCATGCGTTTCACAAACTCTCTATCTGATTCTCCATGAAGCTGTTTAAAAACAGGAATAGGCTTTTCAGGTTTTCCAACAGATTGCTCGTTTTTTGATAAAAGTATATCATTTTCGTTTGAGACTTGACTCTTTTTCTTTTTATTTTTGCGTTTTATGTTGAAGACTCCAGTTTTGACTTTATTTTTCAATTCTATGAATTTATGAAGACTTTTTGGTATTGCCTGATCATCTGGATTAGACGGTGGTGCATTAATTTTGTCTTTAATACTGAAAATGAAAATTTAAGAAATATACATGTTTGTGCTGACAGGGGCTACCGAAAAAATGGTATAGCGTTTGCGCATGTCTAATGCTTTAGCACACCTAACCTTGAAAATATGCTATGAAGAATCCAGGAGGATTCTTTCATTTATCATTTATTAACATCAACACTGAAATGATCAAAACATACACATAATAGTTATGTTCGTTTGTATTGCTGAACGTTGATTTTTTCCCATAGTTGTCTCTGTTCATGGCATGATGTAAACAGAGAAAGTCAGAAAAAAATCAAGTACAGCAGGTAGGGAAAGCACAAATGAACAGGCCTTTATAAATTGGAGTGATTAGGCAACCGTGAAATACATATTTCTAACTGAGTAAAGGGCTTTTTGTTATCTATATATAAATTGGAGTGATCAAGCAACCGTTAAATACATATTTCTAACTGAGTAAAGGGCTTGTTGTTATCTCTTGGAGTGCGCGAAAGGAAATCCCTATAATGTTCGAAGAACATCGTGTTTGGTTTGGGACGGAGAGCTTTCATTGTCAGATTGATAGATCGATATAATATCTTACCTTATTGTACTGCCGTTACATCATTAAAATCTGAACGGGATGTCTGGCAGGTTTTCAGTGGTGGAGGCGGCCGTGTTATGGCCGTAAAGGGTTGAAAAAAAAATCAATACAACGTACAATTAATAGAGCGCTGAATATTCGTGGTTTGGTGGCCGATTATGTTGGCTTTTTGATAAAAATTATGCCAGAAAAATTAAGTGTTACAATCATACCGCCAGACACTGTTAAGAGAACCAATCAAATATGGATTTTTCTAGGAATTTATTGTCATCAAGCGGTAAATCGTTTCAATGCCTCCATTTGGTCCTAAATAAGTGTATTGTGAGTTTGCATTATCTCAGGAGGTGAGCTCAACTTTTAGGAATAAAAAAAGTGAATTTTTGCACTTTTTTTTTTCAGTTTCTTAACTAAGGTTCAATTCTGCGTAAAATGCGCATATGAAACTGCAAATTCGGTTCAGTAGTACAGCAAATCAATCCACATATCTTAGAAAACCGATACTTCAATTGAGAACACTCATAGTTACATGTAGATAAAAAAAATTCAAGTTATTGTTATATATATATATATATATGATTTTCGAATTCGGTCATTTTGATTTTTGAAAGACTAATTTTGCATAAATTCAAAATCGATCAAAAATAAAATTCAGAAACTTTTGTGAAAGAGTGGATCTCTCCTAACCATTATTTTTAATCATTAAGCCAATACTTTATGTGGATTTCATTGTTTTTACTCCCCCTTACCTCTATTAGTTGTTTGTTCCACTTTTGCGGTTGTATATTGGAAAAATTGTTGATTGGGGAAATCAAGTTCTGACATAAATTGTCGAGGATACGAATCAGTATTATGATGAAGACGTGGGAACTACATAACATTTGAAATTCCAGAGCATCTATAATCGGTGCTTCTTCATTATCAGAATGTCTGAAAAGTTTTGATCTGGTGTATTCGCTGATCAGATATTTGAGCGGGTCGTCATCAGTTCTCAGGAAGCACAAGGCTGTCACATGGGCGAGGCATAATGGAAAGTACTATCTGTTTCGAAGATATGTCGTCCTGGAAACTCGCAAAATGTAAGTTTGCACTGAAATGAGAAAAGTTTCCGGTTTTTGACTCTTGATTTCTGCTGTACTGTAGAATTTAACCCTCTGTATTATTGAATTGAGTGTCGTTTTCCGTCCGACGCGATGTTTTCGAGCTACAAGCAAAACACTGAAAAAAAGTGCAAAATTTACCTCTTTTGGGCCCCCAAAAGTTGACCTCACCTTCTCGACGACGCAAACTCGCATTACACTTACTTAAGAACAAATGAAGGGATTGAACGATTTTCAGTTTGGTGGCAATTAATTCCAAGAAAAATCCTAATTTGATTGGCCTATTTATGTTGTCTGGTGGTATGATTGTAACACTCAATAACGACCTCTCTACAGGGGAAAGTGTCAGCTTCAGACCGGCCAGGGGCTGCCCTCTGCTGTGGCAACTGCTCGTGGATGATCTGCTGGCCATTCTCTCAATCTGGTCCTAGTAATATGCGATAAATCCGAAGATCTCCTACGTCCTTCAGGATATACTGGATACCATATGTAAATGGTGTAGGAGGGAGTAAATGTTCCATTAACCCCCACAAAATGGTCATAGTACCGTTCACCAGAAAAAAGGAAGCTGGAAAATTTAATACCTCCTTCCATCAATGTCCCATCAATAGAGTAACAATTTCTTTTGCGAGTGAAGCAACATATCTGAGAATAACCCTAGATAAAAAGCTACATTGGAACTCGCACCTGGAGAAGACTATCCGAAAGGCTAGCCTATTATTATGGACACGCCGCAGAGTATGTGGTAAAACGTGGGGCATATCATCAAAACAAGTATACTGGCTGTACGTGACCGTCATACGACCAATAATCACGTATGGCTCTGTAGTCTGGTGGAGCACAGGCCAACAAAAAATGGCCCAGGCTAAACTTAACGGACTACAGAGACAAGCGTGTCTGGCGATTACTGGGGCCATTCTCTCCACGCCAATGGCAGCAATGGAAGCCCTTCTCGGATTACTTCCTCGTCACATAATGCTGGAGAGAGAGGCAACATGGGCTACATACAGACTCCATCAAGCGGCCATTAGTCTACCGCAGGCAGTGGTCATGAAAAGCAACAAAATGCTAAAAACGTATAATAGCTCACAACATTCTGGGAATGCCCTCAGACATCATGTCCTAAACTACCAACCTTCACACGTCCTACACTGTGGTCTTCCCAAAAAGAGAAGTCTGGGTTCGGAATCGAATTAACCTATGTTAACTGTTAGAATAAGTTCGTTTAATATAGATCTACACTTATTGTAATCATGTGAATTCATTCTGTATTATGTTGCTAGGATAGTAACGTTGTTTATGTATGTTGTAATTGTTTTACGAATATAAAAATATTCAACATTGTGTGTATCAGTGCGTAAGTTCCACTGCAGAATCAATCCCTGCTAACAGGTTATGGACCCAGAAAGGAACTGAAAGCACGCAGGAATAAAGAAGTAATCGATTCATCTCAGAAGATATTTTCATTGTCAAATATATTTTTTTGACAAGACAATTCCAAGATGACTTCAGTAGAAGAAATTCAAGCACAACTGGTTGAATTACGAAGAGAATTACAAAAACATAATTCTACCCACAAGTCTACAGTAGTGTCTACTTCAGTTGGAGGTTTATCAGAATCCAAACATCTGGATGGCAGTAACTACAATGATTGGAAATTCTCGATGAAAAACTTCCTAGTGGATGCAGGACTCTGGTGTTGTGTAGAACCGAAGCCAGGTGATTCTATTGATCCAGATACTGATCAGAGAGCCCTTGCCAAGATCAATTTATCCCTGAAACCCTCAGCAGCCGCCGAAACCAAGAAAGCTACTACGGCTAAGGAAGCATGGGATAATTTGAAAAGAGCATACGAGGACACAGGAATTGTTCGAATGATTGGTTTATATTCAAGCCTATTCAAGACCAGATTTGAATCATGTTCTTCCATGCAGGAGTACATCGACAGAATTCTTCAAATCGCAGAACAACTAGAAACCATAGGAGAGCCTTTCAAAGATAACGTTGTTGGAGGGATAATCCTAGGAGGCTTACCAGAAGAATACAAACCATTGATATTAGGCATTCAAGGTTCCAAGCAGGTGACTTCTGTTGAATTTGTTAAGAGTTTACTTCTTCAACAAAATGTTAAGGATATCAGTGTTAAATCTTCCGAACTGGCACTATACAGCAACAGGAACAGCAAGATTCAGAATACACAGAATCCGAGGAGAGGTCCCAGATGTTTCAACTGCAATGCCTACAATCATAAAGCAGATAAATGTCCGAAGCCCAGGAAAAATGCCAAGGGAAACCACAAAGTAGAACAAGGGCCAGTTGCACTGTCATGCAATAATTTTTCGTCGTTTTCATGCACAGAAGATTGGTTTATTGATTCTGGAGCTACAGCCCACTTCACTCCTAATCTTTCCTGGATCCGTGATTTCCAGAAAGAAGATGGAAGACAATTAGGGATAGCTAATGGACAGAAATTAGAATGCACTGGAAAAGGCAACATCGACATTATTCTAAAGAATGAACGGCAGGCTATTCTGCAAGATGTCATTCACTCTCCTAATATAATGCTGAATCTGTTATCTGTTAGTAAGATGGTCGAAGCAGAAAAAACAATAATCTTCGATGCTAAAAATGGATGCCGAATAACTGGAGTACAAGTTGATTTGAAATCAGAGGACATTCTAGGCACAGCTTCTGAAGTCAACGGAATGTATCGTCTCGACTGCAAACCTCTGTCAGCTCACTTTGTTAAGTTATCCGACTCATTCAATCTGTGGCACCATCGATTAGGACATTTGAACCAAGATTATATGAAAACTCTGAGAAATGAACTAGCTACAGGTATAGAATACTCAGTAGAAAATTCTAGAAGTCAATGTGATGTCTGTGTCAAAGCGAAATCTCATCGACTTCCATTCAGCAAATCTGGTAGGAGAAGAACAGAGAAACATCTTGAAATAGTACATTCAGATTTATGTGGACCGATTCAAGAAAAGTCTATTGGAGGAGCAAGATATTTTTTAACCTTCACCGACGACTTCAGCCGAAAATCCACAACGTATTTTCTACATTCGAAAACCGAAGTAAGGCAGAAATTCATGGACTACAAAGCAGCTGTAGAAAATGAATCAGGATGTTACATCAAATGCCTCAGAACAGACAACGGCACTGAATATGTGAACCATGAATTCTTGCAATTTTTGAAGACCAACGGCATCAAACATGAGACAACAATCCCGTACAACCCTGAGCAAAATGGTGTAGCAGAGAGACTGAATCGCACTTTAATGGAATATGCACGTAGTATGTTGATTCACTCCAAACTTGGAAATGAATTTTGGGCCGAAGCAATCAACACTGCTACATATCTCAAGAACCGAGCACCCACTAAAGCTCTTCAGAAGACTACACCAGAAGAAGCTTGGTCTGGACGGAAACCTGATTTATCCAATCTCCATGTTTTTGGCTGCAAATCATTAGTTCACATTCCGCAAGAAAAACGTAAGAAACTTGATCCGAGAGCTCAAGAAATGATATTTGTAGGATACAGTGAAAATTCAAAAGGATTCCGATTTATACACCCTGTATCCAAGAAAGTTGTCATTGCCCGAGATGCCACTTTCTTTGAAAATGTCACTGTCTCGAATGAAATGTCAAGTAAACTTGTCAATCTATTTCCTCAAGTAACGGAAGATGAAGAATCTCAACAGCAGTTTCACATTGTAGAAGTAAAAGAATCTCCTGTTGAAGTGGAGGAATCATGCCCGTCCTCATCTTCCACTAATGAAGTCTCAGAAAATGAACGAGGAAGCAGATCCGAAGACCAAGTAAGAGAAATAAATTCGAATGAAACGATCAACGATGAAGTACCAGGAATTCATCTAGAAGATCCCAAAGATGAAGATCTGAGAAGATCGACACGATTGCGTCATCCAAATACAAGTATTTTCAATTCCGATTATGTTTATTATGCCATGACTGAGATATCTAGTGATCCTAAGACAGTTCAGGAAGCTTTGTCGGGAGAAAATTCATCAGAATGGAGAGGAGCTATGGAGGAAGAACTACGAGCCCATCAGATGAATAATACATGGACACTCTGTGAACTTCCACCAGGCAGAAAATCAATAAAAAGTAAATGGATTTTCAAAACTAAACTGACTGCAACAGGAGAGATAGAACGCTACAAAGCTAGACTTGTAGCTAAAGGTTTTTCTCAGACACAGGGTATTGACTATGAAGAAACCTACTCCCCAGTTGTCAGATATTGTTCGATTCGCCTTCTTTTGGCACTAGCTGCCAAGTATGATTGGGAAATCGATCAAATGGATGTTGTGACAGCATTTCTCCATCCTGAATTGACTGAAGAACTTTACATGCAACTTCCAGATGGACGAACCTGTAAATTGAACAAAACTCTGTATGGTCTCAAACAATCTAGTAGAGCATGGAATCAACTACTAGATTCGGCCATAAAAGATTTGGGATTCAGTCAGTCGTCCAAAGATCCATGTGTATACATGAAGAACACAAATGGGAAAAGGTTAGTCATAGCTATTTTCGTGGATGACCTACTCATATTCTCTGAAAGGAAACATGATAAGTTAGAATTGAAAAGGAACTTATCAAACAGATTCAAAATGAAGGATTTGGGAGAAGCACATTATTGTTTAGGAATCAGAATCGAAAGAGATACCGAAAAAGGAATAGTTACGTTGGACCAAGAGAAATATATTGAAGAGGTACTTTCAAGATTTGGTATGTCAGAATGCCATGGAGTTAGCAGTCCTTTGGATGCTAATCAGAAATTGACGAAAGAAATGACATCAAAAACTGAAGCAGAGAGAAAAGAAATGACTGAAATTCCTTACCAGGAGGCAATAGGCAGCTTGATGTATGCAGCACAAGGTACTCGTCCAGATATAGCTTATGCTGTTTGCAAACTAGCTCGATTCAGTCAAAATCCCGGAAAGCTTCACTGGCAGGCAGTCAAAAGAGTTTTTCGTTATCTAAGAAAAACTTCCCACTGGAAATTATGCTACCAGAAATCTGAAGATGAGCTTGTAGGGTACTCCGATTCAGATTGGGCTGGAGATATCGATGATCGAAAATCTACTGCTGGATATGTTTTCATCTTATGCAGTGGAGCAGTGAGCTGGTCATCACGGAAACAGTCAACAGTAGCACTTTCGACGACCGAAGCCGAATACATGGCGTTGAGTGCAGCGACCCAAGAAGCAATTTTTCTGAAGGAACTCTTGAGAAATATCATTCCGGAAAGTTGTCACGAAATGATTATTTATTGTGACAATAAAGGGGCAATCGATATAAGCAAGACTGGAGGTTTCAGACCAAGGACCAAACATATCGATATACGATATCATTTTGTGAGAGACAAACAGATTGATGGTGATATCGTTATACATCCTATAAGTACTCACGATATGTTAGCTGACTCTTTAACAAAAGGGCTATGTGGAGAAAAGTTGATACAGAATACAAGGAAGATAGGATTAATGCCGATCACCAGGAATATCACATGAAGCGGGGGTGTTAGAATAAGTTCGTTTAATATAGATCTACACTTATTGTAATCATGTGAATTCATTCTGTATTATGTTGCTAGGATAGTAACGTTGTTTATGTATGTTGTAATTGTTTTACGAATATAAAAATATTCAACATTGTGTGTATCAGTGCGTAAGTTCCACTGCAGAATCAACCAATTAATGTTGGTTTGCCGATTGCTCCAAAACTTTGGAAGGCGTCTAAGCCGGAATATACGGAATTGAACCCAGTAGTGAAACGCTCATTCAGTATGGGTAAATTAGCTACGGTATTCCAGGCAGAGGTATACGCCATTGAAATTCTGCAAGCAGGGAGCTGGAAAATCGACACCATACACGAAAACCAATAAAAATATTTTCAGATAGTCAAGCAGCACTAAGGGCACTTTAATCCAACTGCTTTAAATCCAGAGCAGTATGGAACTGCAGAGAAACCTTAAACCGACTGGCACAATGCAATAACGTTAACCTAGTCTGGATACCAGTTCACACGGGCATAGGAGAGAACGAAACAACGGACGTCCTAGCAAGATGGGGGCCGAAAAATCGTTTACTGGGCCAGAACCGGTAATCGGTAGAGCATATAGCACTGCCAAGAATGTTATAACAACCTTGGGCCGACAACAAAATACTCTAGTATTTGTGTAGTAGGGCCAGAATTTCTGGTGAATTGTTCCCCCAATGTACTCCGTAATTTCGTCAAGAGATTAGATATACTGGGAGAAATATAACCATAGGGTGAGCCACAATAGGCCATAGGCCGCAGCGGAGGGCCTGACATGGGCCTACTCACTTTTAAACCTAACCTAACACTCAATGTCTCTGGCATAGTTTTTATTGAAAAGCAAACATAATCGGCTACCAACCCCCACAAATTCAGCGCTCTATTAATCGTACGTTGCATTGATTTTGTTCAACCCTTTACGGTTATACCACAGCCGCCTCCACCACTGAAAACCTGTCAGACATCCCGCGGTCAGTTTATGATGATGTTACAGCAGTACAATAAGGTAGCAGATATGGATCTATTAATCGGACAAAGAAATTTGTTGTCAGCTTTTAGACTAAAATATCAGACATCATTTTTTTTTATTCCAATGTCAAATAATCAATTATAATCTCCCTAGCAGCAGAATCATCGAAAATTAATTCTTCTGCGTGGGAGATTCGGTAAAAAAATTTCATAAATTGGAGTTGCTTTTAATATGATGAGATGATGAACCCTATGACCCATTCTGCGTAAATGTCAAATAAAATTTGACACTCAAGTATAACCTATTTTTATTATTAATAAATAACGAATTTGTTATCTGAAATCCAATGTCTTCATACTTTTAAATTCAAATTAAACTTGAAAAAACATAATTCCAATGAAATTAGTTGAATATGATGCACTATTTTTTTCATTAGGAGTTGATTCTTCTTGTTAGTTACTAAGGTTCATTGCTAAAATGTCAGAAACATTAAAAAAAGTAATTCGTTTTCAACCATAACATCTGATATGACATGTCTACATAGTTTCAAATGAAACTGAGAGACTTATGCTAATAGATATAAGGTGCTTCATTTTTGACAGAATAATTATCACTTATTAATATCCCATTTAGTTTAAAGGACGGAACAAAATTCAATTGGTTCGAAAAAAATTTATGAAATTTTCAAAGAAATTGTTAAAAATTGTTTCAGTAACAATTGTCCATATTGCCAAAAATGAAGTTTCTTTACCCCTGAGAATTTATGGTTTTTGACATAAGTAGGTGCCTCCTATAGGACTGAAAAAAAAGATCTGATATTTGCATTCTCCATTCCAGACCTTTCAGAACTTTTTATGAAAAATGACTTTTTGTAAAATTATCAATAAAAATGTTTTCCATTTGTTGACAACTTTTCCAGACAGATGGAGACACACATTTACATATGATACTATCAGTCAAGCCCTCTCTTTTCCTGAAAGAGTATTTGTAGGCGTCAGTATTTTAAAGTATTTCACTAAGTACTAGAGTTGTTATCTTACAACTCCCCTCAGTGCCAGATTTCATGTATTTAGGAAACTGTCAACTTTTGGTGAGCTACTTGACTTTTGGACTGGGGTAAATTGCAAGAGTGAGGAATTTTTGTACTATTTAGTTTTTTTCAGTGCATGTTTTCATGCTTGCAGGGTAGTTTAATGAATGTCCACTTCCTTTGATATTCTGTTCCACACTATTATCAAACTTAGAAAAGTAAGTAGGTACTCTTGGGGCAGTGAAATTCATAGAAAATTAATGGTTTGAGATTGTGCAACACATAACAGATAATGGTTAGTGGACTTGACTAGACCAGATTGGACAGGGAAATTATTTGAATTCTGAGTCTACAATATACGAAAAGAGTTTCAGAATTGGATAAATTAGTCTAGGACTAGACAGGTGGCTCAAGTTTTGGACAGAGGGATCCAGGACCCAGGATATGACAGATTGTCCTTGGCTTGAATTTATAATGCATCTATCATCTAAAGTACTAAATTTAGTAATAGTAGTAGAACCAGGCTGTTTTTTCACATATCCTTTGATAAGTATACTCATTCTGTCAGCATTTTTAGAGAACAGAATAAATATGAAATGCTATGAAATAATAGGTATAGAACAACTAATTACATACACATTGAATCGAACAGCAGCCTGTTTTTCTGGATCTCGTATGCCACGATGTTTTCTTCCAGGTATTTTCCTTCCCATATCAGTTTGAATCAAAATAGATATTAAAAATTAAAAAACTTAAAAAATATATTTGTTCATAATATAGGTTAAATACTTCTTCTTTCATTTAGAGAACTAGACAGACTAATCAGACTACTACTAGAGCAAGAGAACTAGATTAAAAGAAGAAGAAGACTAGGGAAGTTGAAATTGCACGAATTTAATCTGACCTGGAATGGGGTATCTAGAGACAGGACGCAAAACAAATAATCCGTGCGGAAACAAGTTTACTAAAAATTTCCGGCCGAGAGCTAGAAAAATATCATTGAAATAGCGAATCGTAATCACTAACGGCCCCAACAGTATATTATGCCTTCACAGTATTTTTTTCGATTCATCATTTCGAATAAAAAAAAGCGGAAGGATAAAAATATGTACGTTCAGAATGTAGAATGAGCACCTTATTGAATATTTGGTAAAACTGCATTTAGCATGCGATGGTTTTTTTTTCGAAAATTTTTTTTGGTACTTACGTATTTTTGTCTGAAAAACACGAATTTGATAATGAGAATGTGAACAAACCATTATTTATCAAGATATTTCACTATAAAGTTTCAAATTTCACCTTCTTTTCCGCCTGTCTTCTGGATTGAATTTTAAACAATTCACCCTTCTTTTTTCATCATTGGACAATTTATATATATCACAATGTAAGACACATTTTTTTCTATTATTGAGTCCACTAGAAATATGATTTTCTTGTGATTTATCCATATTTATTGAAAAGAAGGAAGAATATCATTTGAAATAATGGCGTGTGTAATGTCATTCCAAAGCAATCTATTGACATTTGACATCTCGTATTTGGATTGCCTATGGATAAAATGGCCGTCATCTGGTATGCTTGCTCACTAAATAGGAAAAACTCACCATAAAAATCATATTTCCTGTTGAATTTTCTGTATAAAAATGTGTCATTGAAGTACATCATGAGTATATAAAGTGTCCAATGACAAAATAAGAAGAGCAAGTACCTGAAAATGCATCCAACGCAAGGGGAAAAATGAGTCGAAATTTCGAACTTTTTTTTGAAATATCTCGATAAATAGTGGTTTGTTCACATTTTCATTATCAAATTCGTGTTTTTCAGACAAAAATACGTAAGTACCAAAAAAAATTTTCGAAAAAAAACCCATCGCATGCTAAATGCAGTTTTACCGAATATTTACCGCCACTGGATTTTTAATGAAATTCTCTGGGATAAAATTTCAATTTGGTATTTTCGCTGTGAAACTTCGTAGATATAGAGGGTGTTCAACAAGTATAAATTTTCAAAATCGCCCTGTATTTCATAAACGGAAACAGTTATGCAAAATCCCATCAGGTCATCTTGAGTTTCACTAAAAAGTGGCATGGGACCGCGAAAACCGCAAAGTTCTATCTCGAAAGATAACTCTGAGATATCATGGAAAAGCATATCGAAATCTGCGCACACTGTACTTTCGAAATCGTAGGGAAAATTATAAATCGCAATTTCTTACTGCGATCACAAAAACTCCAGCAAATTTATTTAAGAAAATGGATTAGTATTCTTTCACGAAAATGTTGATGTATATATTATTTGATCTTAATCAGCTTTGTGAGCTAGTGACTAGTGAGCATAGATGAAAAAACACCCATAAAAAATAACTCGATTAATAAAGAAGAAGAAGAAGGAGAAATAACCTTAAAAAATCTGATGAAAACACATGAGGGATAAAGTAGTCTACATTCTACAATCTACACCAAGGACTTATATCTACATAGGTCTACATAGTACACAGTGACGATTACATTGGAAGCTTTTATATATAATCAATCATATTATATATGCAAAAAGGTATCAGAAATATTTAAGTTTTATTCCCCATTTTTATAACCCTATTTTTCAACAATCTGTGGCTAGAGAAATTACATTCTTATAACAGTTTACAAACCTTTAGACATGAAATATAAAGTAATGGACGGAGAAGGCCCTCCAAAGAAGAAGTTGAAATTTTTGAAAGAAAAACCAAATGAGGAGGATGGAGCCCAGAAAAATGTCAATAAAAACATACTGAACAAGGAACCTAAATTCAGTAAAGGTAAAATTGATGAAGATAGGCCCCCAAAGAAGAAGTTGAAAATTCTGAAAGAAAAATCAAGTGAGGATAATCAATCCCAGATTACATTCAACAAAAAAATACCTAACAAGGAACCTAAATTCAGTAAAGGTGATAAAAAAGAAGGACCTACCCATTTAAAGAAGGCAAAGCCAAAATCCTTCACATCCAAGGGCAAAATCAATTTTGATAAAAGTAAAAAGCTTCCAGAAAAGCCTGAAGACTGGGCTGATTTCAAGAAGAAAAAGAAAGAGTTGAAGCAGAAGCGTAAACAAACAAAAGATGGCTTTGATACTATCACAAGGGCAAAAAAATTGGGTGAGGACTTGAGAAGAAAAACACTTAAGGGTGGTGAACAAAGACGCACCCAGTTAATGAATGAATTACATACTCTACTGAAAGGAAAAGGCCATTATGCTAAATTTGTGTTAGCACATGATACTGCTAGATTAGTACAATGGCTTCTGAAATATTCTACAGCTTTAGTCATTAGTCAAATATCAAAGGTGAGTTTTTTTTCATTGAGAAAACCAAATCTCAACCACTGAAACTTTTCAGGAGCTGATTCCAGTGACTGTGGAGATGCTACAATCAAAATATGGTGTATATTGTGTGAAACGTTTATTAAAATATGGCAGTAGTGAAATAAGATCTCAAATAATTGACAACATGCTTGGTCATGCTGTAAAGCTAGCTAGTCATGCATTAAGTGCACCTGTAGTAGAATATGCCTACTCCACTTGGGCATCTCAAATCCAAAAGCAGTACCTTGTTCAAGAATTCTTTGGAGATCTATACAAAAACTCTAAAGATGCCAATGTTAAGCATCTGCGTGATACATATAAGAACAATGACAGTATGAAGGCTGCTACTTTAGGTGCAACTAAATCAAACTTGATGAGAATTTTGAATAAGTCCCTTTTAGACTCTGGTTTGGTGCAGACTGTTTTGTGTCAGTACTTGGCTGAATGCTCAAATGATGATAGAAGTGAACTAATTACACAGTTGGCTTCCCATATTGTTGTAATTAGCAATAGTAAGGATGGCGCTAGAGCTGCTATGCAGTGTATCTGGCATGGATCAAATAAAGATAAAAAGGTGAGTAACATTGTTAATGCCATATTATATGTAGAATGATCCTGTTTACCAATATCTGTCCTCCTAATTCTTTCTAAACAATCTATATTTCATAATGGAATAATTTTATACAATTCATTGCCAAATGAATTGAAAAATATTCATGATTTAAGAAAATTTAAAGTCAATCTTAAACAATACTTGGTCAGGACAATTTGATTGAAAAATATTTGAAATGATTTGATTACTCAGAATTGAAATGTTATAACTTGCATCTTTAGATAGAGGATGAATTTGTTTCCACTGAGTGGAAATCATTAGTTAATCTTTTAAAATTATTATCATTTTTTTATGTGTTCATGTATCCCTATTATAAACAGATATGTTTCTTGGGGTAATAAAAACAATCAAACAAAGTTATATGTGGTATCCTGAAATCAAACTGCAATATTCCAACAACCATGCAACTGGTGTGAAAGCAGCAACAGTTTTTCTGGTTTTTATATTTGCTTATGAAAGAAGGTTATTTTCTTTTGTTGGAGATATTTTTATGCAAGTTCACTAATCTGAAGAAGTTGAAAAAGGCTCCTCACAGTGAATTAATTTGTGATTTCTAAACCACCCCACAAAACAGAAAAATCATGAGAACAGTTGAGAAATCTCCAAGAAATCTCTTGATGGGGGATTTACTATGTGTTGATGATTCTACACTAATTGAACACCCTCAACTAAATAATTTGTGAACCAGAAACTACCCCTTGACAACCCTCTGAAGTAGAAAAATGTGAATTCAGTTGAAATATACTACCAGCACCCACTTGCCTGATTAACTCTTCTATTGAACAGGGGTGTCTTTCCTGATCTTATGAAACTGTATCTGGTGTTTTCATTACATAAAAAAGGAAAGCTTAATATTATTGAGAATTATAGGCAAATTTCACTTCTGTGAGAATTTTCTATAGTACTTGAAAGGTGCATCTATAATCAGATTGTTAGCTTTATTGAGAAATACAACCTTCTTACAGTTGATCAACATGGCTTTAGAAAAAAGAAATCTATTGAAACCGCTAGTTATGAAATGATGAACTACATTTATCATGAACTTGATGCTTGTAACTATGTTGTATCTCTCCTGTTAGACCTCTCCAAGGCCTTGACAGGTTTTGGAGAAACTATATGCATTGGGAATTAAAAGCAGGTCACTGAGATGGATTGAATCATCAAAATTGAAAACAAACTTTCCCAAAAACATCCCATTTCTCTTGGAGTTCCACAGGGCTCTGTCCTAGGACCCCTAATTATTCTACTCTATAACAATGACTTACCAAACTACATCACCAAAGGCAAAGTGACAATATTTGCAGATGACACCACAATTATCCTAGCTGGAAAAATCCCTGAGAAACTCCAAGTGAAGATATGGCAAACTATAAGTGTGGAAAGCAGGTGTAAAAGTAATGACCTTATTCTTAATGAAAGTAAAGTACTGACTTTGACTCAAATCTAAGCTCTGACACCCATTTAAACCATGCCTGTCCAACTCTCAACATGTCATTCTATGCCATTTTCCAAATAAAATCCTATCTAGATCAAGAGGGGCTAATGAAACTGTACTACAGCTTTGTATATAGTCACTTAGCATATAACTTCATTATTTGGGGCTCCGGCTCAGGATGGCACAGAGTATTCATTGGTCAAAAAAGAATTATTCATCATATTTAATATGGGATTCCGAGAGAGCTGTAGGCAGACTTTCCGTGAGAAAAAAATTATTCCACTTACTTGCATCTATATCTTAAAATGTGTAACTTACATAAAGCT